AAACTACATTAAATGGAACCTAAAGTCTGCTTGCTCATCAACTTGGAAAGGAATTGTTAAGACTAAAATCATTGTGGATCTTGGTTCTAAATGGTGAATTGGGGATGAGAAACACATTAAATTCTGGACTGATTGGTGGTGGGAAAGGGCTCGCTAGTGCAACAGACAATTCAATTAGACCTTCTAAACCTCGACAACAAGGTGGCTAATTTCATTGATGTTAGTGGCAACTGGAACCTCCAAGGGGTAGGTAATTTTCTTTCTTACTCTATTGTTCTTGAAATTTTACAATTTCCATGTCCACTTGTTGTAGACTTTCAGGATACGATCTGTTGGGGGCTATTGAGTAATAGTAAGTTCTCTTCTAAGGCTGCCTTTAATCTTATTTCCCATTCTAGTTCAAGTGATCCTTCATCCCTCAATTGGAATTGGATCTGGGAATTAAATCTCCCACATAAGATAAATCAGTTTTTGTGGCTTGTTCAACATGATAGGCCCCTCATGAATAACCTTAGAGCTTCAAGGAATATGGTTAGTGATGCTTCGTGCTCTAGATGTCACCACCTAGTGGAATCATCACTGCATGTGATTTTCGATTGCCCAAAAGCCCAAAAAGTGTGGGAATTCTTTAATTTCACCCAAGGTGATGAAACCAATCAGCTAGGTGGGTTATAGAATTGGATCTTTTTGAACTTCAAACAAAGGAAGAAGAAGGAATGGAAAGGTATTAATTGGCCCATCATGTGTGCTTGTGTATCATGGTGCATATGGAAGGATAGGAACAAGGAATGCATTGCAGGTAATACCACTCTACCTAGAGTGGTTGCTAGGGAAGCGTGAATCCTAGCCATGGATATTGTCAAGGCTTACCATTATGTTAGCTATGAGCCTACTAATTTTTCTAGTTGTTTTATTGCATGGTACTTTCCCCAAGCAAGCTGGACAAGCTGAACATTGATGGATGCTCAGAAGGCAATCCTGGCCCTACCGAAGTGGGTGGTATTATCAGAGATGACCAAGGAAAGTGGATTGCTGGATTTTACGGGAAAATGGAGGACTCCACAAGCTTACAGGCTGAACTATGGGCAATTTTCAAGGGTCTGGAGTTTGTGCAGAAGAGGAACATCACTCAAACTATAGTGGAAATGGACTCTCTTGAAGTTGCAAAACTGCTGTCCAAGGACCCGGAGGCTACCCACCCAAGTAGGGCAATTATTTCGCAATGTAGAAGACTAATGGAGAGGAATCACATTCCCATTGTACATACTCTCAGAGAAGGCAATCAGTGTGCCAATTTTTTTGGCAAATCTTGGCGTCCAACAGCCAGATTTTTTTTTGGAGCTGGAGGATCCCCCGCCTTAGTTGGCTAATCTTTTGTTAGCAGATATGGCTAATGTGGCCTTTACTAGGAACTCTATCTAATTGTTCTCATTTTATATTTATTTTCCTATGTACTGAAACAAAGGAGATAATGTGGATACAAGGCATAATGATGTAAGAAAAGGCGAAAAGGACATGAGTGAAATGATATGAACCCTTCAACAAACAGTGAAATGAACAAATCTAATACTCCCTCTGTTCTTAAATATCTGTCGTTTTACAAAAAAAATTTTGTTCCACAATATCTATTATTTAATGAAACTAAAACATAATTAATATTTTCTTTCAAATTTACTCTTAACTTTTCAATGCATTAAATTATGTGGAGGTTAAGTGTCTTTCATATTCCTTTCCTTCCAAATATGTATTGAATAAGGGTAATTTAGTCTTGTGGAATTATTTTTTACTCATAATACAACTATTTAATAGCTTCTTTAATCGCTGTGCAAAAATCTTAAACGACAGATATTTAGAAACGAAAGAAGTAATTAATAAAGCTGCTGGCCCTTCACACGGCTTGGTGCTACCTTCGTGAGGCAACACGGTGACTCTATTGTCCATTTGTGTATCTTAGTTGCCTTGGTCGTTTTCTCTTCCCCTTTATAGTGCTAATCAACATCCAATTCTTCAAACAACAAACCCCCTCCCCCCCCCCCCCTCCTTCTCTCTCTCCTCCAAACTTTTTTAGAACAAAAAAAAAACTTTGTTTGGGTGGTTAACACACAATTCTTTTATCTATCAACAAACTAGAGGTCTTATATTATATGGTGGGTCTATTTTTGAGTTATTTATCATTTTATGATAATTTTAAAATAAATTTATTAAAATATGTTATTTTTGAATTTATTTATCAAACTGCGACACTTTATAAAAAACAAGGTTGTTGACTCCGATTTTAGTGGTGGGTTAAAAAATACTATTCATTTTTTAAGTTAGATATAAAAGGAGGTTGTTAAGCTTAATGAATTCACTCATAAAAGTGGAGTGGTTGACTCTGCGTTTTAAAAAGTGTCGTAGTTTAGTAAGTAAGTTTAAAAGTATTGTATTTTTATAAATTTATCTTAAAATTGTTATAATGTGATAAATAACTTGATTATTTTCGTCCCACAAAAATTCATTTTTACCTAGTAATTAATCAATACAAAATTAGTAAATGCACCCAATTGTTGATTAGGCCCACCCCGGTTTAGATTCACCTTGTCAGTGACTAAATTACCCCATTAACATTCCTAGTTATCCATGGCCTAATGAGCATTCAATACCTAGAAGATGAAGGAAAAAAGATGATCGACAATTTCCTCCATTCCCTTTATGCCCGTTTAACGGCCAATAAGAAACAGGAACATCAAGATGAGCAGAGGCAGCCCCTTCACATCGTAGAACTTGTGCGACAAAAATATCTCAGCCACCACAAGGCAGGTGATGGAAGAAACAAGTGGAAAAGTATTGGTATTGAGGCTGTCGTTCACTCATTCAGTTCAATAATCGAACTAAAAGCAAAAGGAATACATTTCAAGTCTAGCTGTACATCATGTTTAACAGACATTAGCTTCACTTCTACCTTTAGCAATAGACAACTGACGCTTCCTCCTATTGTATCTAGCGATAAAATCAAGGTGCTCTTCTTGAACATGATGGCCTATCCATTGGCTCCTAACACACCAACTGATTTTGAGGTTTGCAGTTTGTATTTATTTCATGAATTTACTGATCCGTGGAGTCGACAACGTAATTGAGCTGCCATCACAAGACATAATTTATAACTTCTGCGATTCTAATGAGGCATCTGCAAAAGTCTTCTCCACTATGGCTTTTGCTGCCTTATATCTGAACCTTGGTATCATTCTAGATGTTTGAAATCAAATTCAAGAGCACTACAACACCAATAGCAAGATGAAAACATGGATGGCTCAACCTTCAAGACCACTTTGGCACACTCCCTGGGCAGCTTTGGCTTTTTTTGGCCGCAGTTCTTGTTATTATTTTAACTTCCACTCAAATCTACTTCCAAGTTTTTCCATATCCTGCGAATCAAAAGTAATCGAGATTTCAGGTTAGTGTCATTGTATTCCGCGTCACCTACGTTGTTAAGTCGCAAAAAGTAAATTTTATGGCTTGTCTGCAGGTGCCACCGCAAGGGAGTTCTATACACCCAACATGCCATGCCTCATTTCATAGTCATCTACGTTATGAGCCAGGGAATACACAAAGGGATCACATTGCATCTCCTTAAATAAAGTGCATGCATAAAAGGTTTTCTACTGCAGTTTTCTTAGATTTTAGGGACATCCCAGTGAATCGTGTGTATTTTTTTCCAAGCAATTATGCTACTGTACGGTGTTGTCTTTGGTTTCTAGTTTCCGGTTTGTACGCTTTTTAGCATGTAAAAGAATTTTTGAAATGAAGATTTAACAAATAATATTGTGATGCAATATGAGAAGCAGTTCATGAGTGCACTGGCCGGCCCAATAAAAAGGGGCCCTAAGCAAAACTTTGGACGGGCCTTTTGAAAACTTCATAGAGTTTGTTTTTTGATCGTGAGTACAATTTTTTAGACTTTTTTTGAGGAAAAGTATTTAGATAAATTATTTATTCTAATAAGTTCAATTTTAATAAAATATATTGTGTTTAGTTACAAAATTCAAATGAAATCAAAATTATTTTATTTAAATACCCTCCTTAAATTATACATTCTTGATTGCCAGTTATATATCTAATTAAATATATAAAAATTTCATTAGACTCTCTTATTATCTCTCCCATATTTTCTCTCCATCTCTCTCTCTCCCCATTACTTTCCACATATCTTTCATATTTTTTCTCTATATCTATCATTGATAATTTTTTTTTTAAAATATGTAAAAATTTGATTTATTTTTATCTCTCTCCCCTATTTCTCTCTCACTCTCTCTCTCTCCCCCTATTTTCTATAACTGTTTCTCTATCTCCCTATTTTCTCTCTCTATCTCTATTTATATCAATATTACAATAACACAATTACACTAATCAGTTACAATCTATATAATAAAGTAGCTTACAATTTAAATCTCAAAATATAAGCAACATGACTTTTGTTATTCGCAGTTGAAATCACTTTAAATTTTATTTTAAAATTAATCTAACGGCTAATATTAACACTCTAAATTTAATACAAAAAATAGGCCTCTAAGGGTGTATTTGAAATAATTTTTTAAAAGTACTTTTAGAAATTATTTATCATAAATATTGTAAAAAAAATAGTGCTTGAAACCGCTCCACCACCGCTGGTGCCACCACCCCCAACACCGTCATCATCACCACCACCACCACTACCACCGTCGCCGCCATCACCATCGCCACCATCGCCTCCGCCACCTCCATGCCCACCACCATCGTCATCGCCACCACCACTGCCACAGCCACAGCTGTCATCGTCGCCGCCACCACCACCATCGTCACCACCACCGCCACCAACACCACTGTCGTCGCAGCCACCACGCCCACCGCCACACCCACCACCGCCACCAGTATCGCTGCCGCCGTCGCCACCACTAGTGCCATCACCACCACTATCATCATCGCCCTCGCCCTCGCCACCAACACTGCCACCGCGGTTATTGTCACCCATCATAACCATCATCATCTCCTACTACCAACACCTCTCACCCCAATTATAAGTCGATACTTAAATTCCTTTATCTCTTCTTTATGTTTGTGATTTAATTTTGAATATGAATACAAATATGTTTATTGTTTACCATTTTTTATTACTCTATACCTTCAGACACAGACAATAACTAGTTGTCTTATAATACACCAATCAGTTACTCATGCATTCTAATAAACCAAACAGTTACATTAAACAATTACACAAATTTATAATACTAATATAATTTGTCGTTCAATTGTTTACATAAACTAAATAGTTGCACTATTTAGTATCGCGACATTGTTACACTAATTATATATACCAAATTTAGTGTAATGGTAAAATCTTTTGCGTAATGACAAACCCAATTTGATGTGTGTAATTGGTGTAACCATGATGTGATACTAAATAATGTAATTCTTTAATTTATATAAATAACTGAATGATGAATTGGGTTGATGTTATGATTTTGTATAATTGTTTAGTGTAACTGTTTAATTTATTAGAATATATGAGTAACTGTTTAGTGTATTATAGGGTAATTGTAAGTAATTAATGTAAATGATTAGTGTAATTGTGTTTTTATAACGTTAATATAAAAAGAGAGAAAATTGAAAAAAATAAGAAAATTAGGGGAGAGGGAGTGAGAGAGAGAGAGAGATGAAAACATTAAATCAAATATTTAAATATTTTAAAAAAAATATTAATATGAGAGAGAGAGAGAAATATATAGAGAGAAAAAAGGGAAGAGGGAGTGAGAGAGTAATGCAGAGAGAAGGAGAAAGAATAATTGAGTAATAAATACCCTTTTAGTCTTTTTTCAAAAAAATACATTTAGTGTAAAATAAGTTTTTTTAACGTAGTTTATCTAAAATAAATCTAAATTTTTGTACCGATTTCTAAATTACTCAACTAAATATTAGTGAGTAATGTTTTATTTAAAATTTATTTTTTTAGATATAAAATTATTTTATTTGAGTATTGCTAATGGGTAAGAGTATGCTATCAAATATGGTATCTACAAAAAATTAAAATTTTTATGCATTAGATTACAATTTTTACTAGATTAAATTGCAACCACAAAGTTAATATCAATATTAAAAAAATGCTCCTTCTAGGGTCAAATTATAACATTTTAGGGGTTTAGTTACAACCTTTAAAGGTGTTGAGAACGAGGCTAAACTGTTAGAATTGATCCTAAGTATCACAAAAAAGTTATAACGTGACCCCAAAATGATATGAATTCAAAAAAATAATGTTTTAATTGTACAAAAAATGAGGGATATACGAAGGGAGAGAATATCAAGAAGATGTGATTGAATTTTATTTTATTTTTTGACTTGGAGATACTTTTGAAAGTTAGTATCAAATATGCAAACCTCTGACTCATGATAAAAAGATTAATTGAATTAATTAAGGTTTGTAATAGAATGATAGATGAGATGTGTCGAGTCCAAATTCAGATCAAATTTGGGTCTAGTTCATGGGTTGAGGTTAAATCATCAAAAGACAGGTCAAACTTAACTTATGGCTTCAGTCTAATTCAAAGATCAAGAGTTTAGGAAAATTCAACGCACGTGGGAGAACAATCATCAGAATAACCATTACTCTAAAATAATGTCTCTCCCCAATTGTAGTTATACTTTTGATAAATTAGTAGTTTGACCTTCATGTCACCCTCTTAGCTAGGGTTCTATACCTATAAATTGTAAACCCCTATACACAAGGGGGTAGATCACACACACTTCACCTTGAGCATACTCTTACTCTCTCTCTCTCTCTCCCTACTACCTTATACTCTCTTATTAATAAAGTTCTCCAACAACCGTTGTCGCCTCCGGTAGTTAAGTTACCTAGATCTAACCATCCAATCTTTGTCACTATTTATTGATTATTTCATTAATTATTTTACAATACATACTTGACTGATTTGATTTTGTATAATCAATTTTTTACATCAATCAAGATGAATTGCTTAATTTGTCAAATAAAAAATATATAAAATAGTATCTAAAATATGAGTTATCTTAGATATTTTAAAGGATGAGACTTTTTACTCTATAATTAAATAAAAAGATAAAACTCAAACAAAACAAAATCCAAAAGAAAATGTTTTTACATTTATAACTATTTATTTGAAAAAATGGGGCCTTATCTCAAATGGGCCTAAGCAATTGCCTACGTGGCTTCATGTGTGAGCCGGCCCTGGGATTTTCTTTGGTGATCTGGATTTGGAGTGAAGACTTTGTGTGTGCTTGCTGACAACAGAATTTGGATCCTCACAATTTTTACCCAGGCTTCTAGTACCAAATGCCCATTGACTATTTGGGTTCTAGAGTTCCATTTTTTGACAAAATTATCCTGGAATACTAGTAGGGAAAACATTAAGGGTTTGTATGGTAAGGTGGTATGGGGGGATTTGGTAAGATGGGTTTAGGGAAAATAGTCCAACAGACTCCCAAATTGCATGTTGGGATTGAAAATTCATTCCCGAGTTAACTCGGCTCGTAACTGGCCCAAAAATTAAAACCATAATTATGAGTTTCGTCAAACCTAATGGGTTTGGAAAGATGGATTAAAAGGATGCAAAAGACAATTGTACCTCTTAACATGGATATGAATTAGATTGATCAAAGGTAAAATAGTTATTTATAGGACAAATAGTTATTAATAATTATGATATATTTGTGAGTCCTACATATGTATGTGTTGCATACCAAACATGAGTATGAACCAGATTCAATGTTAAAACCCATCTTTATAAAAAAAAGTTTGAATTTGAAAGGAATTGGAAAAGTCAATCCAAACCCTTCTCAAAAATTCATCCAAACATGCCCCAAGTATTATTTAGGCTAGCCTCCTAAAATTTGTTCTGCCCACATTTATACGTATGGTAGAGTGATAGGGTGTGTTAACAAAGATCATCGAATACTGTAGGCATGATTTTCTTTGTAAGACCAACATGTTTCCTGGACTTAAGAAGCATAATCTACAAGGTCGTTAAAGATATTAGAAAGTAGTGATTCAGCGTCAATTATAAACCAAAAGAAGTCTAATTTTCAAAAGACATGTTCTACAAGCTATGTCTTGGGGGACTCGAGTGTGGAGTTTTTTCTTCTCTTGTTTTTTTTTTGTTTTACTTTTCTCGATTTTTCATCAAAGAGCACCATACGAGAAAAGTTCACAAATAAAGTTGAACCAAATAACATTACAAAGACACACTATAAAGATCAAGATCGCGCTCCGATCGATCGTTGGATGGTAAGAAA